GGGGGGATCTCTGGTATCGGGTCTAGAAGGAAACCGGTGCAATGACTCGCTGGATGCCCGAGTTGTCCGTGATGCAGCTTAGCCTTTATTTATCCAGGGAAAGGTAAATAAAGGCCTGCATGCTCTTTCCTACGTGGAAGCTGCCTACCTGCACACAGTTGGGGATTAAGCGTCTTGCTAAAGGGCACCTTGAATTTTTTTTGTCTGGGAATTTACACTACAGGTCACACAGGCGTACTTCTGCAAACCAAGTGTGCCGATTCAACACATATCTGAGCCTTCAGAGAAGCATTGCCCAAAGTAAAGAAGCACAGCTGATGTCATACTTTTACCTTCCTCCAAACTTATCGAACCACATTGTTGAGATTCTCAGGAAAATAACAAAAGATCCTGACGTAGGTTGAGCAGACTGAGCCGTCAGTAATCTTTGTGTGTAACTCATAAGAGGCAGACGGGTGTGAAGAGCACTATACTAATACTTGACACACGTTGGTTTTGCATTGAGAAACACGGATTTGCTGGCAGGTTTCTCCACTTATTAAAATAAAACATGATTTGCGGAAGCAGAAGAAGAGGAAGAAGAAGTGGATCTGTGAAAGTTCTTAATCTGCAAAATATCCAGAAACTTGCGTCAACAACAAAAGTAGGAAAATGAAACACTGACCGGACTTACGTTTCATGCAAGTCTATGTTTTCATGCAGATATAGTGAACACATCTCCATGTTTGCTCATTTTCTTGTTTGTACTTTGACTGAATGACCATGACTTTTCCATCTTATGAAGGATTACATGAACCGGAGAGAGGAGAGTAGCAGCGTAAAGTACGCCAGGAATGAGACGCTTCTGGTGAACAACAGGCCGCTCTCAGGCCACGGTAGCACCGGGCCAACAGGAAGTGGCCTCACAGAGGGGCCCCAGGCGGCTCCGAGTGAAATGAGGCACAAACCATAGAAGCTAGCTCACAACGCTGTGTGTTGGTATGCTGGCTGGTGGGAGCTGCTCTTTCCCCGTCACCAGTAGGCCTTTTTGTCCAACAGTCCTCTCACTTTCATGGCACTGAGCATGCTGTCTCAGTGTCTCACTGGGACGCTTGAATAGAACAGAGCCGATCGTTAGCGTTATCAGTAACACCTGTGCTATTCCTACTACGACAAGTCAAAATGTCTGCTGTGAAAAGGCCCCTCAATGTCAAATAAAGAGCTGGAAATATATTTCCGCAGTGCAAATGGCGGGTGCTACTATACGCCTTGACTTTTCATATATCCAGCTTACAGAGGAAAAACTATGAGCTTATATGAATCAACCAAACAGTGTGGTCACAGTATGTCTTGTGGCCACACTCTTAACGACTATTACAGAGTCAGCTGACATTGTAGACTTCAGTAAATGGCTCCATGTGATGCATATTTTCATTGTCGCTTTTTGCTGATTAAATGAATGTTTAGTCTATAAAATGACTGATTTTTGGAGCAAATCCACACATGTTATGCTTAAATCAGTGACTGCGGCCCCTTCCCCAAACCTAGGAGGTTTACTGTGGATCCTGGGAAGATTAGCGGCCGCTAAGGCGTCAGCTAACGGGGATCCAGTTAATAAACTAAACTAAACTGTAGCCATGTGTTCACTGAGTTACGCTGTCGGCTTCAATTTGAGCCCTTTTTTTTTTGCCTATATTTGTTGACATTTTGAAAAATTGGCAACATTAGCTATCGGCAATTCCTGTTTGCTTGTTTGATACAGCCATCTCAGGATCTTCTTTTCCTGTGATTCCTAGGCAGATGTATACAGATGTTTCATTGGAGAGAGTGATAACCTGAAGCTAGAAGTGTAGTTACGGATGTTTGGAACTTCAGATTTGACCGATTTACGACTTAATTGCCTCCGTGGGCTGTGGGTCACGGCCACTGTTGCAGCTCATAAAGCACACCATCACACCTCACAGCTTCAAAGCCTCTGATCGAAACTATTTGTTTTAGTCCAGGATTTAAACTGCAACTCCAGAAGCATTTTCAAAGAAAACGTCAACTTAAGAAGTTAAGTAAATGTCGCAGATCCAACCCGACATGAACTGAAGTTGAAGGCTGAAGTTTTCACTCCAGCGAAACACTCCAGTCCTGACATGACCTGAAGTTGTCGTATCAGTGATTCCGACCGGCTGTCTTTCTGTCTCTCTGTCTTTCTGCCTCCTTTCCCACCTGACTTGTGTGTTTTCAGCTTGTGTCTGCCTCAGTGAGTTCCACCTGACAGACAGAAGCAACCTGACAGACTGACACACACACACACACACACACTGAGGGAAGGCCTTTGGAAAGGCTTCAAATATTTACAATAACTTGAGGTGCACTTTGTGTAGAACTAGTTTCCCTTCGATGTCTTGTTTTCACATTCAATTTTAAAGAGGACAGATCAACTTCTGGATAGTATTCCATACATTCAGGCGTTTTCCACTCCCTACATCTATTATTCATGTTTATTATTTTAAGGCATATATACTCAGACAGGATCCTAAAGAATTTATAATAGGAATTTAAGCATGCTAGCTTTTTAAGAGCATGACATGCACGGGGTTCAGACTTGCAAAATCTGTATCTTCCTTTGAGTTATTCTGGAAAAGAACATATGAGACGTCTATTTCATGACTAAAAATGACTTCCATGACGAATCCTCAGTTGTTTTCTTGAAGGATGAGTGTTCTCAGCTAAGCCTAAGCGTGCCCACAGCAAGCAACAAAGCTGTGTTTTGTGTTGAGAGCAGATATATTTTGGGGGCTTCTGGGGCCGAACTCAACTTAGTGGAGACAAAAACCCACGAGCACATTCAGTGCTCTCCAGATGAGGTGTCCAATGACGGTCACGCAGATTTATGAAAGCACCGGACGACCTTTGAATTATAATAATATTCTGAGTGAACAAGCACATTATACTTTAAATATCTGAAGAGGGTTTTTTTTGTATTATGAATTGCAGCACAAAGGATTTTTGTACCACGCCTACGGATTACGTGTCCTGCAATAGTGGTTCTCCTGCTGCTACGTGTGCTAGCTAGCGGTGGTGTCGGAATGGTAAAAATGTTGACGGGTGAGATTCGGATGAGGTGTGTGCCATCAGATATAAAACAAGCTTTCGGTTTATTATCCGATCAAAGTCTCTCTCTCTCCTCTCTCTCCTCTCTCTCCTCTCTCTCCTCTCTCTCCTCTCTCTCCTCTCTCCTCTCTCTCTCCCCCCCCCCCATCTGTGCCCAACAGGACAGACAAAACAACACGAGTGAGACAGACGGGAGAGGAGACAGGAACCATTTTACGCGGCTCAATCATCTTTACGGGGCTTTTTAGTTTCCTTACTATCACTGAGAACTGATGAAAAACAAAACATGCGTCATGACAAAATCATTTTTATAGTTTTGTCAGTTGTGTTATTTAGCCACAAGCTAAAACCTTTATGATTTCTCATTGGATTAGAGGGAAAACTTTGATCTTACTGAACGCTGTTGAACAATACTAGCTGAAATCAGACAGCTCAGGGACTTAGACTTATTGTTTTGTGCCATTGTTGGATGCAGCTGGCACTTTGAGCTGAAGAGTCTTTCAACAACACTTGACTGCTTGCTGAAGGATTCACTGGGTGCTGCATATTAAAATTGTGAGGCCCATTTTTTTGGAACGAGCATCACAATTTGGGCTCCGGACGTGTCTTTGGGAAATTCTGACCTAATCTATAGATATTGACTCATCACCACAGAGGCTGCGGCTCGGCTGTCATGATTCATCAACAGCATGGGATTTGACAGGCTTGCCTGGAGGCACTTCTGTCCTGTATGTTCTATATGCGGCCAACATCGGTGCAGTCTGTCGTGAGCAACATGCGGGGGAGCAACACGGACAAGGCACTGGCTTTAAAGGGAAGGCCTTTCAGAATGTGTTTAAAATGTACAACGAATAAAGCACATATGCAGATCATGCATTTGCAAGTTAATATCCCTCACTCTCTGCACAAACAGGCAAAGTGTGCAGTTTTAAAGAGCAAGCGACCTGCCCCCTCATCCCTTATTCCTCGTCTCCCGCCTTTAAGCACTTTGTGAAGCTAATTTTATTTTATGATGCTCGTCGGGGGTCAGTAAGCACTGTACATGCTGAATATATTGCAGGGCGTTTCATTACATAACCGTTTAAATGAACAGCGTCCTCACTCTATATGCTACACACTCGGATGCAATCAATGGGTGAAAACAATAGATGTGTATTTGGCGCCATTGATCGCCTGGAAAGTTATCCCGATGCTAGTGTGTCCGTGGGATGGGATTGACGCGGGCCAGCAACGCAACCAACCACACATCCCTATCGAATAGCTGCACATAATTAACAGCATGCCCTTCAAGCACACTTCCAGGCGAGCCCGTCAGTTTGTTCAATATGGTCTCACTTAGTTCTGAAAGTATACAGGAAGTCGGACAGACGGGGCTGCTGTTGTTCCACTGGCCTGTTTCACAGCATTCTCAGCATTTTTCTAATAGACCGATTCCCTAATTTTGTATTCCAAAAAGAGACATTTTAGAAGTCACAAGTAGGCAATATCTTCTGCAAACCTCCCCCCTCCTCTTAAACACCTACCTAATTTAAGAAATGCCAAGTGTGCAATAACCCGTGCACCTTCAGGAGTGGCCCGGAGTGTTCTTAATCCTTTTATCCCTGACACTCAGTGCTGCTTACTGTCCAATTCACTACCGCAAAGATCTCTTCAAGCATCTGCCAAAAAAGTTAATCACCGTCTTTAATTAAATCCCTTCCTATTTATTATAATATTTGTTTTCCAAATGGCTTTTTTTTGGGGGGGGGGGTGGTTGTGAATTCCTGACTATCTTCCTCTTTGTGCCATTTTCTTAAGCCTGTATTGCATCACCAAACTGTACAGGGTCACACCTGAATGACAACAGGGCTCGTCACTGTGAAAAACAATGCAGGGTGCATTTCTCCCTCCCACTCATTCATGCCCAACCTAACACACAGGCCATCAGCAATGCAGCCACAACTTGTTTAGCATAGGCCGGTTATAAACTGACGTGGTGTCAGTGTAGAAAGTGAACCACACGTTTAATGTTGCACCCTTTGACCAGGAAGTTAAAATGAAACCCCATGGAACTGAGGCCCATCACACTGTAGTTACTGCTATATACATGTAGTAATACAACAGCAAGTAATACACCTTCAACAATGGGTTTATAGCAACTGTGTCATACTTTGAAGTGTTTGTATCTGATAACTAGCCACTGTACTTGAACAGTGATGTGATACAGTAACGTTATCCTACATGTTATCTGTTTACAGCCTTTTCTAATAATGTCAACAGTAAACAGTCTCACGGTGTCATGTGCTGCACCCATATGTGCAGCAACGCATGCGTTGTTGATAAAAACGAAAATAGTCGTAAAACAAGACACGACACTAAAATAGTCAACAAATAGCAGCTTCATCTTAAATTGTGTCGTCAAGTCACCAATCACAGAAATCTCTTTCACCACCATGTCGACTGAACCCACATCACAAGGCTTCAAATGAACCCGGGAGGGAGGCTTAGCTTCAGCTAACGCAAACACTTTTACTAATCACAACCCGAGTGATTCCCGGCTGCAGAAAAACCAGAAACCCCGTGGCTTTTACTTACCGAAAACACGTCAACGTCCGTGGCAGCCATGGGTGCGGAATGTATGGTGGTGCAGACTGAAGCAGAGGCGAAAGGGAGCAGCCCTCGTCTCTTCAGTGCAAGCCTGCTAAACTACTGAGTCTGACGGAGAGCGGAGACGAGCTGGTGACTGGGCGGGGGAGGAGGGCAGCTAGCTGGGCGGTGAGAGGACTCACTGCTGCTTCGCCCCTGTTTTCGCTCAGTCAGGCTAAATCTTTTACTTTGTCTTCGTTTCGACATTGGCTGGGAGTCGATGACTGTGCAAAGGGTCTTGCTTTGTTATCTTAACTGTGTAGCACGGGACAGCAGACAAATAAATCGGTAAACAGCGCTAATATTGGTTTTAATGTACTTCTATTTTGCGCATGCGCATAAATGCGGATGTCATACATTTAATGAATATTTGCCACGATTTTAAATAGCTTCTGTTTTTAATAATGCTAATACTATATTATTACCATTAATAATACAATAATATTTGATACAGTTTAAAGTCGTTTCCAGGTGGTGTAACGCTCAACGTGTATGCGTACGTTAAAGTAGGGAGTGAACTATCTTGACGTTCAGGTTACATCTTTGGGCGTGACAGATACGTTCCAATATGGCCACTTCTCGGGAACTCCCATTCAGTCCAGGAATGTCATGTTAAACACATTACAAGCCAGGACAGGAGAGAGAAGCGCCGCAGAACGACCGAGGGGAGCACAAATATGTGCGTTAGCTTTGGAGATAATAAAACACATAATCATCACTTCAGTGTATCCAACTCTGTGTGTGTGTGTGTGTGTCGTTTTCAAGATAGGGCATTAATGTTTAAATTAATTGATGATTGGTGACGTGTGATAACCAGCCAATCCGAGCAAAGCCATCTGATATTGTATCTAATTCACTGCTTTTATAAAACCACACAGTGTTCCTGGATGTATTGTGCTGTGTGTGTGTGTGTGTGTGTGTGTGTGTGTGTGTGTGTGTTTAGGGCCAGACCCATACTGGATTTTGAGGGTGTTAAATTAAAACCTGGTAATTTGATAAGTTATGGCCACAGCCCTTAATGTGAGCCAGAATCACTTAAAAGTATAAGTAGTCTATATGTAAATGCAAATGCACTAAATAGTTTATATTTCAAATGGTTAGTAGCCTCTAAATGGCAATTAGACTATAGGGTAATAGTTTATATGTGGTATTTTGGAGTAGGCTATTGTGGTTTAATTCTATTCATTTTAAAAAATAAATAAAACACACTCAGACTTAGCCTACTGATGGGCTACACCAAAGTCTTTACTTTTATTGCGACAAATAATAAACAATGCTTCATTCGTCTTCAGTTTCGAACTATTTTTTCCACTTTCACTTAGCCTGTAGGAAAACAATATGCATATATTATTCAAATTATGTCCACGTCTACGTTCTGCCCCGGAAAGGACTCCTGCAGGTGGGGAGGAGAGAAGTGAGCGGCCAGGTGAGGGCTGCTGTACTCTCACCGGGACAAAGGTAGCAGGAAGACAGCGCGCGGCTCTTGGAGTTAGACGTTTTCACTTTAATCCGCGTAAAGTCTATATCGTAATAATGGTTTTGACGCAAGAATCCATCCTGTTGCTGCTGATAGCGGAGGGGGGCAAAGTGAAGAAATCCGACCTGGTGGGGAAATTTAAAGGCTCATTAGACTGCGACGATCCCGCGGAGAAAGAACGGAACAGGGAGCTTTTCAAGACTTTCGTCAACAACGTCGCCTTCGTCAAAGAAATCGATGGTGTCCGGTACGTAGTCGTCAGGAAAACGCATAAGCATTTGCTGGAGCCTGAAAATAAAGAGATCCCGCTACCAGGTGAGCGGCAGAGCTCACCTGTGCCAGGGGAGAGGACCGGCAGCTCCGATGATGCACGCGGGGAGAGATCAGCTGTTTCTGAGCCCGATCAAGAGCTGGCAGGTGAAGGTGGAGACAATCCTACAGAATTACTTACTCCTATAGAGCGGGCGTTGCAAAGGAGCAAATACACGGATGTTGGAGTTAAAAGAATGCTGAGTTTTGAGATCCAAAGGCAGGACAAGCATGGAGATAATAGTGCAAAGAGCAAACCATATGCCTTGCCTCTGAGGATGCCACCCAGCACCACCCAGGTGGAGATCCGCAAACTGAAAAAGGACCCGGACGACCCACCTGAAAGCCCCGAGCCGGACTCCTTCCGGAGCAAGAGACGGGCCCCTTCAGTGGAGACGAGCATCGGCGGCTCTCCCCAGCTGAGAGGGTCAGTGAGGAGCACCAAGGAGTCAGAGGAGCCCAAAGAGACGAGGGTCCCCTCCTCGGTCCCCCTGGAGCAGTCAGAGCACGAGTGGCTGGTCAAGTGCGCCGCCGGCCTCTGGAGCCAAGTTTACGGCCTGCTACTGAGAGACAACCAGCTGGCAGAGAAGAGGGACTTCATGTCGGGGTTCACCGCTCTGCACTGGGCCGCCAAATGTGGAAACAGTAAAATGCTTGTGAAGATTGTCAACGTATCCAGGCAAGGGGGGGTCGATATCGACGTCAACGCCAGAACACACGGTGGATACACCCCTTTGCACATCGCGGCCCTGCACGACCAAGAGTACATCATGGAAAAGCTGGTGGGGGATCTCGGGGCCGATCCGGGCGTCAGGGACAACTACGGGAAGAGGGCCCACCACTATCTCCACAAAGGCATTTCTGAGAGGGTGAGAGAGATGCTGGGTGAACCCAAAGCCCCGGAGGCTCAGGACCGGGCCCTGCACGACAAAGAGGAGCTGGACCTGGTCCCGGACCTCTCCAAGGGCCTGTATTCAATAAGCCGCCTCTTCCAGCCCCACGTGACGGGCAACAAGAAGAAGCACAAGCAGAGGCCCGGATTTTACTCGCTGAGCGAGGAACCCAGCGAGGACCGAGAAGACAGCAGCTTCAGACACAGAGTCTTGTCGGAAGCTTTTATGTAAACTCAGAGGACTTTCTGGTTCTCGTATTCATGAGGAATGAGCGACCAACCGTCATGAGTTTGACCGACATTCCTCTGATTTACAGGCCTTCTTCAACGACGAGAAAAACTCCAAAAGAAATCAATAACTTCTTTCTTGTTTTGTGCTTTATATATTTTCTGACATTTGTCAGATGACATTCTCATCAGCAAGGATGACTGGGACAGTTTTGGTGGGACGTGTCACCTGGATGAGTTGCAGCCTAAGGCAGAGTTTAGAGGTGTAGAATAAAACATGACTCAGAGAATATTCCAGTGGGTCATGTGAGTCGTCTCATTACTCACCGTCTGTGGTCTCTCAAAGGCCTCATCTTCAGCCTTCAGACATAATGTTTCTTTCATGTTTAATTACTGATTGTCATGAATTCCTGTTTTTCTAAATTCAGAAACGCACACATGACTTGATTAAAATGTATGTTCTCTGTGTCTATTTTTGATCAAAATGGGACGTCGATCTGTGACAAAGACATTCTGTTTCTGAAGTAGCAGGGGGAAAAATGACGACTCGACTGTTTCCATATCTGAGTGAGGTCATCCTCTCGATTCCCAAAGGCAAAACATGCACAACTAAAACAAATTTTAAAAATGTGCTGATTTATGGGTGATTTAAACCTCTGGAAGCAACATAATTAATATAATATAATGAATACAAATCTGTGCCTCTGAGGAGGATTTGGAGGACTTCCCTCTTTTTGTCACGGATTAATTGTTAAACACCGTGAAGCAAATAGGAAAAGCAAACATCCCAATTAAATTCCCTGGTGGAAGACAAACATTGGTTTTGTCTTCCACCAAAAGAGGTGCAGGTGCTCCATAAATCCTTTCAGTCCCTTTTGCGTGCCAAAGCCTGCGGCTTGAATCCATCCTCTGGCTTGTTGAGACAGCTGGGATCCAGTCACACGAGCAGCTGACTAGGAGTGAGCGTATGTTTGCATGTGGGTGCCTGAAAGTGTGTGTTAATGTTGCCTTGTTTCCTGTCTGTCATGGTTCCTGGTCCCTGGTTGACCAGATAGAATTAAAGTAAGGTTTTGAATGTGTCAACATGGCGTGTTTAGTGGCAGCTTGTTTGAGAGATTAAAAGAGTTCTGGGTTGAGAAGAAGCTGTGTTAAGAAATAGTATATATATATATATAAGCATCCTGTGGTCAGCCTCGTTCTCAGACTGCTCGCCTTGTCCCCCGCCTCGAGTCGCCTCCCTCCGTTTTCTTTCGTGTCTCATGATGTCACTTCCCCAGCAGCTTACATTGTCTTTACGTCAAGACGATGTTTCATCTCAGAGCCTCGGGGTTTTATGAAGCAAATGTTCTTTTCTGCTGCTGCTGCTGCTGTGAGGAGAAAGGCCAACACAGGGTCAGGAACAAGACCCGGAGTGGTTGAGAGAAGTGCTCTTTAGTTACAAGCAGCAGAAATACTATGATGTTAGATGACAGTATTAAAGGATACTGTGTGTGTGCAAGGTGGTTGTCAAAATTAGAATATGGAAGTGTGACAAAGTTAAAGGTTAAATTTCATTATGGCGTAATTGTATTAAACCACTTCAGACCTTATTACTTAGAGCCTCTCTGAATTTGTGGAGGATTAGAGCTGCCATTAAGAAAAATAAATAAATGACTAAAATAAATTAACAAATAAACTATGGAGCTGGAACCAGGGGCAGTTAGCTTAGCTTATAGCTGGAAACAGCTAGCCTGGCTCTGTCCAAATGTGACAAAATGAATAGCTGCTTCACCTTGTTTCCAGGCTTTATGCTAAGCTAAGTTAACCGACTGCTGGCTGGAGCTTCATATTTTTCCGACAAACATGAGAAGTGGTGTCAATCTTCTCCTCTAACTCTAATAATCTGTGACTTTTATTGATGTCAGCTGATGTTGAGTAGGATTTGATTGAACTTGTCTTCCTCTTTTCTTAATACTGGAGTGTAAACAATCCAGTGTAAATATGTCATGGCTGTATTTGAACAGATTAACAACACAACATGAGTTAGGCCTGCCGCCTGGTGAAGAAAGCTCCACACGATCCTGGGTTTACTCACATTTCAGTTTTAATCACTAGGCTACGTGTCATAAAACCGGAGGCAGTAGAGGAATATAAAGGAGTGCCTGGAATGCATTGTCATTATGAACTATTATCCCATGTGTGTGTGTCAGCTGGTTACAAACGGGTTAGCTTAATTAGAGCAGCGCTCCGACAGGAACAATCTACTGTAACGAAGAGGCGATAAATCTCGGCATTAAACCAGCACAGTATTCTGGCTTGAAAACAATTAGGGCTTTAATTAGTCATAACTGCGCTGTGTAATGACCGCCTGAGGTTAGAGCTAGAGGAGGAGACTGAAGGTGTGCTGACATTCCCGCGGGCGGAGAGTTCGGAGTTCAGGTTCAAAAGCGAGATTTGGAGCCACTAATCTGAGCACTTGGCAGAATAATCACTGAGTCAGGATGTGATCTGCACACTTCCATGTAAAATCACGGCCAATTTAACACTTATTTGGTTGCATGAAGTGAACACAATCCCATTTTGTGACCCTTCATGGTTTCGAGCACCATTTTCTGTCTCCTCGCCTCCCTGTAGAGGCAGAAAGACACAGTAAGTGATTATCAGCAGCAAAGCTCCTCATTACCCAGCAGCACTGTACTGCAGTATTTCAGACCTTCCTGTTTTCTTGTCTGCCGCCGACACCACAAAACGCTCCATAAGTTACACCCCCTTTGCTGTGACGCAAACACCTAATTACCATGCAATTAGTGTCTGACAAAGACCTTTCTTGTTGAGAATTTCATGAGTTGTGTTTTATGTCCCTGCTGCCTTCAGTGGGAATCTGATTCAAAGTGTGTTTTTTATTTTTATTTTGTGACGTACCCTAAGTGCTGTCTGGTGTCTCTCTTTGTCTCCATGGGGGTTCATCTGCACATGGGAGAAGTTCGCCTTCAGGGCTACTTTCCGCCTACTGGTTTGTTTTAGAAAATGATCATGGTTTGGGTAAAAATAAACACTTTCTGCCCTGAAGGGAAACTTGTCCCATATGCGTTTCATGTGCCACTTGCCAACTTGAGATCTGTTTTTTTTCCTCAGTCCATTCTTTTAGTGAGCATTTTTATTTTTGCTGACAAACACACTGGATGGCAATCCACTGTGAGGCTGAACAAACGAGGGCAGAGATGCATGAAAGAGACAAGAGAGGAGGAAGAGACTGCTGACAATAACTGCCCTTAAACGCATCATTTAGTCCCTAAAATGTGATGTTTTTCAGATTATTTCGCTAGGAGCCAGGAGCCGATTAGCTTAGCGAAAAGCACCTGTAAAGATCACCAATTAAACACTTTATATCTTGTTTGTTTAATCTGTAAGAAAATAAATTGTAATGTTACAGGCATTATCCCCCAAACTATTTCTTCTGTTTCCCCTTTTCCAGTCTTTATGCTAAGCTAAGCTAACTGCCTTGTTTTGTGGTGAAACATGACAGTATTTAATGTGAAACAGATTTGGTGCATTGCAGAGTTCAATTACATAACACAAAATACCACTTGCGACAAAAGTAGATTTAATCGCTGGTTGTATTTGTTTGGTTGGTTGCACCAGTGTTCCTGCTCCAGCTCTGTGCCACACTGTTGGACTCTCAGCAGCAGTGCGTTGATTCGCCTGCAGAGAGCAGAGACGAGCTCTATGAAGAGCAACTGTTACAGGAAAGCCTGAATTACTAAGAAAACGTTAGACTTTTAAAAGGATGAGAGCTTTATGAGAAATAATGTGACAAAACTACCCAATGTGTCCTGTTCTCGCAGCTTTGATATTGCTACAGCAGCACAAAACATAAATCACTCTTTGCGTAAGTAGTTAATGTAGCCTCAACTTGTATTAAGACAAGTTCACTGTGGGGGAAATAAGAGAAATGTGGAACACTGGAGGGAGAGCTTAATTTATTCACAAAATTACAAACAGCGTGGAATTTACAACTCCAAAGAGGCACAAAGAACAACTCAAACACACGCGTGAAATAGAGCAGAAAATGTGGATTTAGAAATGTCTCTGCTGACATCCCAGCAGCTCGGACTCATTGAAATATGTCTTTCTTTCTTGGCTTTGAAACAGATTCTGTTCATATCAATGTCACAAGGTCTCCGGTATTTAAGAAAAAAGCTAAACAAACATAATCCTTCTTCAAAAACAGGCCCGTTTTCCTGCGACCTCAACAAAACACTGACAGAAACAAGACATGACAGGAAGTTGTCACTTCTTTGTTAGTATGCGCACATAGCAAGAGCTAGAATGAGTATCCGTCCATGTGCTGCTCCTCCTCCTCCTCCTCTGTGGGAGCCTTTTCCTCACTTTCTCCCCCCCAGTCTTTCTTTCTCCAAAATGTTGCATACCCAAGGAATTCCAGCAGGCCGCGAGGAATAACGTGAGAGTCTTTCTAACCCTTCAGCCCTGCGTCAGCACAAAGGCCAAAACAAACATACATTTGTTTAGCAAACGGAAACGGACAGGGCCGTAAATCTCCAGAGAAATGTTTCAGGGCTGGTGGGGGGGGGGTTCGTGAGTAAATTGTTTTTTTTATGGTTAGAGGCTGCTCACGATGCTCTGCCGCTTTGTGGTCATTAAAACATAAATATCATATACACAACAAGCAATCCATACACTGGATCAGTTTTTTTCAGTACAGCCAACATGGGGACGGTAACATTTTGATCACTTTATGACTTCCTATGGGTTTTGTTGAAAACTTAAAAACGGCAAACACCGAGAGGAGTTCTGTCTTTGTGTTCCAACTAATCTCTAACACACACACACACACACACGAATACACGCGCTTCACACAATCTGGCGTAGAGCTACAGCTCACATCACCGATGCCTCTGGCTGAAGATTCAGTACAAACAAATTAATACATCTATAAAAACGAATGCCAAATATTAACAGATGCAGTTCTTAAAACGTGAGATTCTTTCAAAATTAGAGAGAAAGTCATTTGATTCAAGAGTCTGTCTTCATTCAAAGCTGTTTAACTAGCGTGTAAATTTAAATAAACTTAAAGGTTACATATGTCTAAAGGGGGCTGAACAGTGGAGGTAGAGAATAGAAAACGAGTTTAAGACACCTGAAGTGAACATTGTGGACTTTCCTCTTTCATAAAAAAAAGTGTTTCAAGTATCACGTGTAACCTCTGCGACGAAGGGACATCGGGAGAAAATACTCAGTGATATAATTGTTGCGTACTTATAATCCTCTTTAAAGAGCTTTAGCACCTCCTTATGAGGAACCGGTCCAGCATGAAATCAGACTTAATAACATTAAGTATGAATTGAGCTGGAAAGGTATTTCAACAGTCCGTAATGTTGCCGGGTGTGCTCATGTTCCTGTTTTAAGTTCAACATTCCTATTTAAAATGAGTTCAAATGGATGGAGTAAGGCTTTCAACTGAAATTACTTGAATCTGATTTGAAGAAATGTGCATTTATGTATTATTACAAAGTGCTTCTTTTTTTTTTTTCCATTCACCCTTTTTTGGTTTTTAGTGCCTTAATTTGAAAAACATTCAAAAAAATAAAACATTCACAAAACAAAAAGATGAAATGGACTACATCTATTGTACATGTTAGCGACATGACACAGCTCTCCGACTACGCTGCTCCATTGAAGCCTTCTCACAGGTCCAGATACAATCTTAAAGCTTATAATAGGTTTCCACAGGTGCAGATACAGGGCTGTAGCGCTACCGTCTCATTGAAGAAGTGAAGGACAGTTTGCTGAATTGCTAAGGGGGGGGGGGGGCGTAAAGTTTCCACACAGCAGCTTGAATTGGAAAACGTTCCACAGCAACACCAACGTCAAGGCACACAGAAAAAATAAAAAAAACCCAGCTCATTCCTCTGTTCAAAGTCAACGGGAACATGTGCGACACATTGGGGAAAGTCTTCAGGTGCATGTTGCACAATGGGCGGAGATCGGGTGAGTGTCCCGGGCACCCTCGTTAGATGGCAGAAAGGCAAGAAGCTCCAGTCTCAACGGTCTTTATTGCTCATCTCACGTGCAGCCTACGTAATAAGAGAGGAGCAGCAGCAGGTTCCCCAGACGCCCTGACAAACCTTTACAGGACAAAAGGAACTCAGAACAGAGTGCAAAGTGTACAGCCAAAACTCTCTACAGGTCTTTTTTTTGAATAAGCCATCCTCCTTCCAAGGCAAGTCAAGGAAAGAGGAAAAGGAGCAATCTGTGCTTGCGTTGCTCCTCCCTTCACCGATGCAGGCTGTTGGAAAGGGCCTCCAGCTGCTCCTCTCCCAGCCTCTGCTTCTCCTCCAGGTCCTTGTGCCGGATGAGCAGCGAGGCCTTGGTCTGGACGAAGCGCCGGTAGTCCCGCAGCTGCTCGGCGGACAGCTGGCGCGACAGGAAGGTGGAGACCAGGTTCTCTCTCCGGTCCAGGTTGTCCTTCAGATCTTGGGCGTCCTCCCTCTGTTTGCACAGCAGACGGTGGCGACTGTCCAGAGATTGCTGAGTGCAGAGGCAGAGAATGAAGACCATGAGTTACACCTGATATAGTTAAAAGGTCACATTAAAATTCTGACCTTATTCTGGTGTTGAATTCATGCCTTGCAGAGCATTAGACACATGTTTATAACATCAAATGGATAAGTAAATATCCTGCTGTGAGCAAAGTCAAACAAATACAGAATTTGAAATGACTGCTGAGAGAAAATCTGAAAACAAATAAAGTGTCCAAAACTATATTTTGGGTCATATTTGTATATGTAATATGTTGTTTGATGTAATAGAGAGCTGGGAAAATTGCAAGATCACGTTTGAAACAGCCACAGGGCAGGAGGTGCAGTTTTACCATATGTCAACAGAGGGCAGGGTAGATATAAATGTCATCGAAACCGGGCTGGAGTTTCGATGACTCAGTGTAAATACTAGTGTTGCCGATAACAGCAAGAATATAAATGAGCCTCTGACAAGCCCTCAGTATGCAGCACGTTCAGCCAGGCTGTTACAGACGGACAAACTGACAAAGCGCCCTTTCAAAATCGAACGCATCCATGCAAACACAAATTGATGCCGTAAATACTGGGGACGCATAAAGAAACAGGATATTCAGAGGGAAAACAAAGCGGAGCACAGAGCTCAAGTCAGATCCTGTGACGCAACTCACGCTGTTTGAATTAAAGACCTTAATGACAGTAAAAGTGTTCCAATGAATGGTAGCTACATCAGATGCAGCATGATGAAATTTAAGGAGTTATTTCTCAGTATATTAAATCCTAAAGCAGCAGTCCTATCAAACTGCTTTTATTTCACAATCTTTGAACATCTGACAAAGCGTTTGGATTAAACACAGATAAGCTAAAAATAAAAAATGGCAATCACACACAGATAACAACATTTTTTGAATTCCACAGGGTGACAAACCTTGCACCCTTTTAAGTCGCCCTTAAACGTTTTCCAAATGGCATGTGTTTGCTGTTCTCGAGTAAACAGAACGGGAGTATAGCTGAGGTCATGGGAGCAGGCACACACTTCTAACACCCGGGGTCATCTTTGTCACCAGAAGCTCCAAACGAGTTGCAGTAAATAATGACATTAAACGCACGCAGCAAGAGGTAAGTGTATTACCATCAGACTGTTACGCAACTTTGAGAAATAAATGAAGGAACAAACTAATAAATCACTCATGCAGGGCAAGCTTTTGCAAGCCTTGTATCATAGCCTACAGACATGAATGACAAACAAAGGCTGTCTGGAAGATAGGAGGAATCTTGAAAGGGACCCACAAAACCTTAATTTGTGAACCCACTGAATCCAAAAAGGAGGATGAACCCCCCCCCCCCCAAAGGTTTGTGTTCCTCACCTTCTCCTCGGCATCTGTGTGTTGGTCCACGGTGCTGAGGGCGTTCTGCACCCTGGCCAGCCGAGCAGAGAGGCACAGCAGCAGGCTGACCACCCTCTCCAGGTCTCCTATGAACAGGTTGTACCTCTCTAGCTCCACAGGCAGACAGCGGTCCCGGACCAGCACCTCCAGGGCCTCTCCGTGGGCCACGTTCTCCTGAATCTCTGTCTGGAGGGCGTCCCGCGTCTCTTCCAGCGAGCGTAGACGCTCGTTGATGTACGATGCTAACAGACGCTGTTAATGTCAAGCAGAGGAGGTGATGTGTAAGAGATTTTAGATACACAAGGGCCAAATAGAAAATAAGTGGATAAATAATACTTAAATAAACAAAATATTTCATATCTACTGTAGAATAAAGGGATACTGTTTCAAGAGTGAATGTGGGAGGCACTCAGGAAGAGGGGGAGGCTATCTGCTAAGCTAAACATTAGGCAAGTGGGAGATACTGATAAGAGGCAGACAGTACGTCATGTGATAAGAAACACACAACTATCTCAGGCTGAAAGGAGTCCCCTTCAGGCCAAATAGCAACCACATGGTTTCTATCTGAAATCACCACAGAGTTAATGGTTATGGTTAACCGTCCTTCTGTCCCGTCTGCTTTCTTGTCATTTGTAATGTACATGCTGCAAATCTCTGACTATTTTAGAGACATATTGACCATCCACTATTTTGCACAAATGAATAATTACCTTCTTCTCAGTGAAGTCAGCTTTGCTCTGCAGGTCTGCACGCTGAGGTTTAAGGCCGTCAGGAGCAGAAGGACAAGGCGATGGTTCGGCCGCTGCCACCATTTCAGCGCTAGAGGAAGAAACGTGTGTTTCGGTCAAGCTTGCTCTTTTGCACCCTGTTAACGTGCCACTTATAGTGTCTTCACAGGTAACGTACTCCACTCCTATTCACATATTGCAAAACTCAGAAATGCAACTGCGCATTCTTTATGTATCTTCACTGTGCTTACACAAGCAGAAAGGTGAGGCAACAAAAGGCTAACAGAGCACTGGTGGAGCTCAGTTCTCCATTAGAAACTAGTATCAAGTTTCATGGAGAAACCTCAAACCAGGAATCCTAATTAACTTGGCACTAAAAGCACTATTTCAATTCTAAACTACTTTTAAATGGATTATTATCTCAACCTACACAGCTGTGTAGATACAAGATAAAGCGTTTACACTTACAGTCACCTGAAAGAATGGAACATTTATGAAGCAGGGCAAGTAATCTTACATTTCTATGCCAATTAATTTATAATTTCTCTTATCTTGTTCATAATTTCACAACAATTATTCTCAGGGCTGTGCTCTCTAACAGCAGTAAAATGCTCTCAATGGAAACTACTGGGAATGTATTTATGACTACCAGAGGTGGGTTTAATCTAACTGTTGCGTTCCAGGACATTAACGTTTACCTTTCTGCAGCTCCTTTCTGCTCCTGTTTCTTCTTGTAGTGCTCCTCCATCAGCAGCGTGTCCTCTGACAGCAGCTGCTCCATCAGCATCAGTGCCGTCTTACGATTGGCCAGTGGGTAGAGCACTCTGGCCAGCGATTGGTCGGCCTTGACCGCCGCTTCCACCAGCTCCTCCCACTGAGGTCTCTCAGCGGGCCTGTCCGGGCTCTCCGTCTCTGCCTCCGGTCTTCTCCTCTCCTCTATCTCCCGGGTTTCTCTCGACTTCTCATCTTCCGTTTCGGGATTTTCCTTCGCCTCCACCTGCTGACTGATGTCTGTGTCGGAGACGGAGGTGCAGGAGGACACAGAGGTTTCACTTGTCTGCGTTGGAGGGGCCACGCTGGTGGACTCGTCGTCAAAAACGTCCGTCAGCAGTGAAGTCTGGACTTCCTCTTTGATCTCTTCCTCTGGACGGAGGATCCACAGTGACGGATCCGTGGTGACGCCGCAGCTCAAAGACACTTCATGGTTTGAATCAGGCTGTAGGGCGACTTTGCTTGGTTCATCCACGGACTGCTCTCTCTCTGATCCAGTCCTAGACAGAGAAGTGCTGACTCTACTGGAAGTCAAACAAATGATGGTTAAGAATCACACCTGGCCAAAATCGAATAAGCTGAATCAAAAAAACAACCTCATGCCTCGAGTTTGTTTTAGTTTAGTTAGCTAAATGGTGATATATTCAAATGATGACAATGCAATGCATGTCAGGAAGTTCTAAAAGAAGAAAGTAGCACGTTCAAAAAAGTCAAATCAATTAACTGGAGGAAACAAATGCTGCATTGACGTTGAGTCTAATCTTACCCGGAGCTAGGCGTGTTTTCACAAGGAAGCTTTGTCTGGGTGGGGGTGGACGTGGTGGATTTGATCTCCCTCTCACTGGTCTCTAGACATCTGGGGGAAGGTGGGTCAGATGTAGTCTCGCTGGGCGGTGTACTGGACCTGAACCCGTCTGTGACCGGGCCGTGAGAACCAGGAGATCCAGAGTGAACCCTGGCACGGGAAGAGTAGGAGGAGGCCGGGGAGGTGGATCTACTTGGATTCTTTGTTCCTACTGTGGCATCCTCGCTTGGTTCTGAGTTCTCCTTCAACAGAGACCTTTTCTGGGTTTGGTTTGGTGTCTGTCCCTGGGTGCTCGTCTGACCAACGATCTCTGGTTCTTTGCCCACTTGCTCCGTTACATTTTGTTTCTTCCTCCCTCGGTCCGGCCCCTGGGCTTCTCTGACTTCCGCAAAGAACGGAACACCTCTCTTGTCTCCGTCCGGTCCTACTGGTCGAGTCGAATCCCTCCACAGTTGATCCAGCTGCTCGGAACTTTTACTCAAGGCTGACGGTCTCGTTAACTTTGATGCCCCGAGCTCTTCCATGGACTTCCCCCTCTCTGCGACCACGCGGACACGCTGCTGGACCTCAGCAGCTGGCTTTGTTAAGGAGTCCTCAGTGGCATTCGTCTGGGGACTGACATCGACAATCAGTGTTTAAATGTGAAACAAAAGCCATCAATTTATACAAACAATGATAGAACGTTGAATGAAAACAAAAACTGCTAAAAGCAACACTTTTTATATGCAACTTCTTTAAAGGCAAATACAAATTAATCATACACACGCTCTGTAAAGGGTTAGAATAACAATTTGATGTTCCTACAACTCATAATGTAGTTCTGAGAAATAGGTGAACTCCTTGGAAATGGTCGAGTCGATGATTCTTCTTTTACAGCCGATGCATTAATCTTTTAAAAGGAATGCTGGTTTGCTGGAGCAGGTGGGTGTTGACTTTTCAGTGCCACAATGAATCAAGTGGGGAGGATTTATAGTCTGTGCAACAACGCACACTCACTGACCTAATACTCTCCTCACCTAAAACCACTGAAAATGTCCCACTTTGTCTGCAGTGCTGGTACATACCTCCAGGTTTCCATAGCATCAGCTGGTAATGGATCCTCCTCGTAGTCGAGTGGCTACAGACGCAGAAGAAAAGACAAAAGGCAACACATGAATTACACTTGAATCTGTAGACACTTAAATTCTTCTGAATTTAATAGCAAAGATTGTTCTAATGGTAATTTAATTGTATATATTTGTGATGGAAAGCTTATCAGACACTGACTTTAAAGTAACATGTCTTGTATTTTTAATCGTCTCAATCTGAACAGACTTACCTGAAATGCATGTGGTGTGGATGTGGATCTGATCCTGAAGAAACTGGGTGGTTCTGGCTGGTCCAAGAGACTCTCCACTGAGGCAGCCTTCCCCTGAGCTGGACCTTGGCTCTCCCTCCATCTGGGTTTATTCAACTGGCCAGCGTACTGGCCTGAACAAGACTGAGCCGAGAAGAACTGGGCATACCTGTTTTCGTGAGAATTTTAAATACAATTTTAGATGATTTGATCCATACAACAAAAAGCATCACACATCTTGCTCTCTGGCTCTGCTTCTCTTTCGTACCTGATGGAGCTGGTGGAGGAGTCAAGGATGCGGCCCGCAGAATGAGGTCTGGGGAGTTTCTTCTTGGTGTTTTTGCCTTCATGATTTCCTGATAGAGGCCTGGGAACCCAATCGAAGGGTTTCTCCCCCAGAGAATGCCTCTGTCTGGATGGAGATGGTGTCTGCGGCGCCGGTTGCTGTGGCTCGGCCACTTTCTGGCCCGTCTTACGCTCCATGTATGCCACCAGGGCCTTCTGTTGCAGATGTTTTAAGTTTGTCTTTGAAGCGCTTGGGGCCGAAAGGGCTCTGCCTCTTGTCTCAAACATCCTCCTCCGTGCTGCGACCAGTCCCTGCTCTCCGTCCTGCCAGCGTTCCTCTCCATCGCTTTCGTTGCCAAAGGAGCGGCATGCAGAGTGGATGGGGGCACCGCCGCCGCCGAGCTGGTTGAGTTTCTCTGGTTCAGAGAAGCACATCTTCTTCTGCTCTTGAGTCAGTCGCTTCCTCCCACCGATGCGTGCTACCTGGGGCTGGGCCACATTCGCCGGTCTCCCGTTTTCCTTTTCAGTCTCTTTGTCCCTCTCCTCCCGACTCTCCCCGACTTCTTCTTTTATGCTCCCCCTCTCTGTCTCCTCAGAGGTCACAGAGGGAGTGAGTGTGTCTGTGGAAGTCTCAGAGTCCTGTGATGGGGAGAAAGCGTGAATCACGGTGGGCCTCAGCTCGGGTTTTGGCCTGATTCGGTTTGGCCATGACAGCTGCAGGTCCCTTCTTTTAAACGACGTCTCCCTTAGGACCTTCGACTGGGCGTCCTTCAGCTTCTCTTTGTAGTACTTTTTAAATGAGTCATCCAGAGTGTTGCAGGCAACGGAGATAACTTCCCCTCTATCTTTGCTGCTTGTGTCGCTTTTCGGAGCTCTCTCCTTATCTTCAACAGCCACGTCTTCATGACCTATTCTGTTTGGGATTGCTTCATTGCCTTTTATGCTGATATCAGCATCCTTTTTAGGCTGTAACGCTGCCCTGCTGGCTCCAGTGAGGTGGTACAGAAGCGGGGTTGTTTCTTTGTTTATCCTCTCGCTGGCTACATCCATCAATGGCTGCCATTTCCCTCTCTTTGCCTGCTCCTCTCTCTTGTGGTAGTTGGGCTGTTCGTTGTTTATCAGCGGGGTGACCTCCTTCGTCTGTTTGGTTGAATGCGGTGGACAGTTTCTGTCAGGTCCACAGTAGAATATAGGGTTGTTGGCAGTGTGGCGCCCGATATCTCGACTCTGAATCGTGTCGATTTCTTCTAAGGCCTCGAAGCTTCGAGAGGACTGCGTCGAGATGTAGGACAGTCTCTGGTTCTCCTGATCCGGGCTTCTGGAGGAAAGGTCCAAGCTCTGGGAACTGAAGGTCTCTCTCTCATCTGGAATTACACCGCTGGACGAGCGAGAGCTCTCTTGGAGCGGTCGAAACAAATTATCCATTGTGCTGTGGCTTCTTTCTTTTTCTCTTAGCCGGTGTGTCTCCAACACGGTGGAGCTCTCGCTCCCAGCCTCAGACCCACACACAGATGCAGAGTGCGTCCTCGATCCGGATTCAGACTTACACACTCCTGTGACAAAGTAGAACTGACCCTTGTGCTGGATGCTGCTGTTGATTAAACTCTGACCAGCATTCCAGGGGCTGGCAGCTCGAGTTGGCTCTGAACCAAGCCAAACATGAGCCGAGTCCGCCCTTTTGCGTTGACTCTCAAAATGGCTATTGCTACCACTGGACTTGTTGGGATGGTCTCCATTACATCCACCGCTGCTTGAGGGCTGTCTGACTTTCAGGTGCTCAGGCTGACTCGTGCCTCGGGGAGGTGATCGGCCTAGGATGTTTGTTGACTTCTGTTGCTCAGAGGCCGCTTTGCTATCCGTGATGAAAATGTATTCTGGGTTCAACGGCGCCCTGGTCTGATCGTGAGCCTGGAGGCGAGGGCGGTAGCTTGGTGGCTGCTGGGCCTGCGGCTGTTGCTGTTGAGAGCCTCTCCAAACTGAGTAGACTGGGTCAGAAGTTAAGCTTGATTTACCCGTGTCTGGGTTAGCCGTCTCAGGTTTTGGGGTATTCAGACCATGGGGCTGTGGATGGAGTCGGTTGTGGGGTTTGGGATGTTTTTGAGGCTGTGGCTGCTGGGGTTGAACCCCAGTACCTTGATGGTGGACCCTGCTGTTTTCCAAGTTTTTTATGGCTATAAAACTATCCAGGCGTGCTGGGACTGGAGGAGGACGGAGAGGAGGGTAAGCACCTTGGGATGGAGCCCCCAAAGGCCCCTCTTTTTTAGAGAGAGCTTTGTTGTTGGTATAGAGACTGTTATAGCCGTTTTGGTTGTGGTGGTTTACATTGGTGCTGGTATTATTGCGATACTGCTGTGAGATCGCTTCCACAGAGCGATAGAGCTGGTCCATGGTCTTTGAGTCAGACTGCAGGACCTGGGTCGGATGGTAAATGGATTTTACGTACTTAAGGTCAGCATAGTGGCTGAAGGAGCTGGACTGGAGGTCGTCTGGGAGAAAAGGAGAGGGGTAGTCCGGGGCAGTTGACCCGCCAGAGAAGGAGCTGTATGCGGAGTCTCCTTTGCCGTGTTGGTGGTGGGTGAGTTGGTCGGCAATGCTGCTGTTGGACTTGGCTGGGGAGAGCCGGCTGACAGGCAGGCTCAGAGGATGCAGGTCCACGTTGCTCATTCTCTCAAAGTGTAAGTTGTAGGAATCCATGGAGGACTGGGGCGGATTGGCAGGAAGGGAAGGGCAGGGTTTGTACATATGACGTACGTGTATGTGCGCTGATGCATGTGTCTTCCTTGTGGCTGAAACTGGGGAAATTACCACCAACGCATTTGCATCAGGTTGTCCGTCACGCTTGTCGCTATTTAGGTAATTTTCCTTCCTCTTGAAGTCTCTTGAAATGGACTGCTCAGTAGCTCCTGGGGGAGGAAACACAAACACAGAACAAATTTGTTATCAACATCAAATCTTCACACTAGCTGCTTTGCAACGGCATGACAACTTTACACAAACACACATGTTTGTGTTAGATTGTCAACTTGGCATGTCCGCTATGTTAACAGCAGACACAGCTACATACCCATATGAAAGAATAAACACCTTCATACCTCATCTTCGCTGTATACGAATTCTCCATCAGCTACCCTGTAAAAATAGCAGCTTTCTGCTCAAACACTATAAAGATCCCAGAAAACAGTTAGTCACCACAGAAAAATCTTTGCCTGGCATTTCTAGGTCAAATTCCTTTCGTGATAGACTATGCTCCACCTGTTATGAATTGCAAAGACAAATCATAAACCTCTAGTTGTACTCTTCTCGGTAAAAAAAGAAAAAAAACATTTTCTCATTTTGCTTATTTTTACGTTTTACAGCTCACACGGTTTACTGCAGCTTGGTTTGGTGGGTCAGAACAGTTAACCACCTGTCGAAGGAGTCTGGCCCCTAATTAACTACCTTGAGGTTGGGGGTGCACATTGCAGCACACGCATGGAAATATGTCAGGAATTCCATATGGAGCTACAGAAATCTGGGAGGATTAGTCATGTGATGGATGTATAATGCCTTGTTATACAGAACTGAGACCTGTAAAGACTTTTCTACCTTTTACCCTCATTGTTCTTGGGACAGAAACATACGCTTTTATTTCTAGACAAATAATCACCTAAAATGTAACGAGTTGGGCAAGATTAAACTGTCACTTAACTATACAAGCACTATGAATGAGACTGAAACCTTTACAGCGTATTATTCTGAGCAAGAAGCTGTAATGTTTTGCAGATTGCTGTAAAGCAATATCAACCAATAAAATACTTGTAAATACCACTTAATCAATAGTCTTTGGGCCTCAATCTGAGGCTTCTGCATCACTCATAATCTACAGGCCATTTGTTTTGACTGGGATTCATCTTTTAATGGCCTGAAACCAATAAAGTTCATTCTTAATTTCAGTCTATGGTGGGCCTCTTCATACTCCTCGAGTACTTTTTTCCCCCAAGTTTCCCTATTTACTGTTGAAGTACAGTTAAAAACGTACAGAACAGAACCCTGCTGCCATCATAAGCTATCCGAAAACTCATCCTCAGTACAGAAACCAGCCCCTGCAAGGTAATGATATGTTTATGTTTTATGGTGGACTAATGATAGAGTAGATGGAGTCTTCTCTCTCCCATGACATGCATGCCTTTCCATGACCCTGTCATCAAGTTGAAGCTACATACCTGTCGTGCATGTACACAAAGGTCAACGCTGCCAATAAAACAACCAGCTAATCAACTCTGACGCTGCAGGATGAGAGTTGGGCCTCAGCATTGATGGAAGAGCAATAAAGGCTGTGGACAAATTTAAGTTATTCTAGCCAACAAATATAAAAATCCTGACGTAAATGACCACTCACTAACTTAGATTAACAACTCAAAACTCCTTTATAATCAGTTCAAATGAGCAACATTTTCCCAGTATTGTCATGTCTGGTTGCCGAGCTGAAAAACCCAAATCAGAGATGGTGGTCGTTTTGCATACACACAAAACCCACCTCCCAAGAGCCGTTCAAACTACAGTGTTAAGGGGGGATTCCATGTGTTTATGAACACTGATCTGTGGTGTCTGCGAGTGTGTGTGTGTGCGTGTGTCTGTGAGTGTGTGGGGTTTCCAGCCCTCCTCTTCCCTCTGCAAAAAGAGAGGGAGCGCTCAAGTGGAAGTGATGGAGGGGACAGGCAGTGGCAAAATGTACAGAGAGGAGGAGGGGGGGGGTCGACCGGCCCAGACAAATACCCTCACACGCAAACCACAACAACAGCAGACAAGAGAAGTGAACAATGACAGCCGGAGAGCTGAACACAAGTTGGAAGGCTGGATCAACAGTCACAGCAGCGAGGCAGAAGGTTACCAAGCCGCTCAGAGATGAACCACTCGCAGACTGCTGTGAATGGAAGTGTGTAAAGTTCAGAGAGCACCGTCAGCAAGAAAGAAAGAAAAACTCACCCAAACTTTGAGCCTAAGTCGCTGACCTTCCTGATTTCCATCTGAGAAAGAAAAGTGTCCTCAGTTACAACTTAAATAAGGATTTGCTGAATGATCCACGTTTTTTTCTTTTCAGAACATCTTTCTTCTCTCTAAAAGAGGGACCAGACCAAGTAACCAGGAGAGCTAGATATTAGAGAGAAGGACTTCTAGCGAGTCCCCTTCTCCCCCCACCGAGACCCGAAGCTGCCTAGCGGGAGCCACTGATTGGCCAGCCGATGACGTCCGGCTCTGCGATGCACAATGAGCGCAGCGGAGGGAATATTTCACTGCCGCAGATAGCTGCTAGTGCTGCCGGCCGCCAGAACAACAGAGAGAGAGAGGGGAGGTAGAAAAAAGAAAAAAAAAAGAGAGGCCTCGCATTCCTGGCTGGCTTCAAAGACGGAGCAGAGGCCGGGCGCCATTCATTCCCAAGGCCCTGAGCCCGGCACATGGAGACTAGCCAAGGCAGGAGGGAGGACGGAGGAGGGGAGGGGGTATAGTGGTGGGTGGATGGGTGACCTCCCAGCCTCCACCCAAGAAGGAAAAAAAAAAAACTGTCACAAAGACTAACTATCCCCCACCATTACCCTCATTTTCTCTCTTATTCATGATAACTATTAGTCTGTATTCTTCTATTCTTTAAAACCCATTTAAAACCCAGTTAACGGCAGTCGTAAAGAAATTACACAGCTAACCATCAACCTGCAGCAGAAATCTCTAATACTCGCGACTAAGACTGAAGAAGGTCATCATTACTGGAATTTATTGTAGAAGCATTGAGTTTAATTCATGTAGAAATCGCCTCTTTTCAATTTTTCTACAGAAATAGAATCTTGTTCACGATACAATCAGTGTGACAGTAAAAATGAGAATGACACTTAATAGATAAGAGCTGGGCTTTATTACATCACACAGATGAGGTGGCAACTGTCTTATCTGAACATATAGTACCAAATTCACTCAAATAGCTTTAAAATGTTGAATACACAATGAGACACAAACTCTCTGTCAATGACACGTCATACAATGACCCTAGTTGCCCTCTCTATTGTTTTCTACGGTGGCTGGCAGTGCTCGTGCTGGTCTGTGCCGAGTTGTTGTTACTGTTGGCACAGATTCAGACAAAGTGGTGCAAAGAGCAGCGTCGATGTGCTGTTGTTGCTTTTACTGCTGCTGCTGTTCCACCTGATGACAACGCAACGTTTCTTTGTGATGTGGTACTGAGACGGGGAGAGATGTGCGACTTTAGCTTTAATATTATTTTTTTTAAGATGCAAAATTAAAAGAAAACCCAAGCTGAAAACGCTTGCTATACAAGTTGTTTTATGCAGTTTCTATTCCGCTTTAAGATGATAATAAAGGATTTATTCAGTCACATTCCACACTCCATAACAGGGGTCAACATTAAATAGAGATAAGGATAAGCTCACGACCACTTACTGCCAGCTAACTGCGCTAACTAAGTACTGTATCACGGTGGAGGCGGGAGAGAGTGTGCCTTAAGAACCGCAAGAATTTAAAGACCATGTGTTTTTAAAAACAAACCCAACGAGGTCAGGAAAGGTGTCAGGCAAGTTTGAAAGATTGGATTTATAAAACTAATGAGAGAGAGAGAGAGAGAGAGAGAGAGAGAGAGAGAGAGAGAGAGAGAGAGAGAGAGAGAACACAGAGAGAGGGGGGTGTGAGAGAGGAAGGGTGGAGGATGGGGGGGTGTTAAATTCTTTCTTGTTTTTTTTATTTTTTTTTTTTCTGTCATTCATTGGTGATTATGTGTTCCAGCATGACCTTCCCCATGCAGCCACGAGACTGGACCACCAGGCGTCTGAGAAGCCAAATACAGAAATACATGGATGGAGAATACAGAAGCAGGAAGTACAGGTGGACGAAACAGACACAGCAGAACCACTACAATGAAAGGTGAGAGAAGAAAGAGGGGAAGACACAGATATGAGAGAGAGAGAGAGAAAGAGAGGGGGGTGGGGGGAGACGAAAGACACGAGCAGGAAATTTGGGAACTACTGTGACCAATGCCATGGTAGCCAGCCAAGCAACAAACAAGCCAAAAGCAATAAGCTTGTTAGCCCTGCTGGCCGTGTTAAGTCTGCGGATAAAGATGATGATGGGTCGACGGACCTCTGAGCTAAATGGAAAACTACTGTTAGCACCGGTGCTCTCAATCAGAAGCATCCACCAGTGAGGAATAAAGACTTTAAACTCAGAAACAACTAATAATGCATTGTCATTGCATATATGGCTGCAATCCATTTACTGTCAGTGTAACAAAACTGATATTTTAGACTGGTCTGTAGCATCAGGGCCGGACTTAATTGTAATGACTGTCAGCCATCAGTGATGGACGTTGGCTGAAGAGGCGTACAGTAACCACTAGAAAGGCATCCTGAACGTTAGCTGGTGTCTTCCAATCTGAAGTCATTAAAAACTGTTCTGCATTAAATGGATAAAGGAGGCCTCACACACTTTAACACTGCACTATGACTTCACTTCTGGATTCCAGTCTCCCACAGGACCTGAAAGACATCATTCCTATTGTCCCTGATCAAACAGAAACAGACAGGAAGCTGTTTTTGAAAAGGTGGAAGTGGCCGGCTGCTGACCACTGACGGAGCAAAGCATCCATTAACGGGAAAAAGGGAAAGCCGTGTTGCCGTGCACCGTTATCGCTGACGTCTGCGATGCAATCTCTCCTGCATGTGCGTCAGACACAAAAAGACATGTCTGTGAGTGTGCAGGGGAGAGAGACCGTGGCTGTGTGTTGCCAGGCAGTGCTCACATCGCTGTCTAAAATCTCTAACTGATCAAGACAAGCTGTCACACTCTAATAAGCTCTGCATTCCTGCCTTGATCGAGGCCTAAATACTTACTTGACAATATTAACATTTGGACTATTTAATTACATGTTGTTCAAAAATGTTGCATACACCTAAATAGACCGACGACGGCAGGGCAACTTGCTAACAGCCCTGCTACCACATACATACACACACACACACACACACACACACACACACACACACACACACACACACACACACATTATGCAACAAGGTCAATAAGAGTGTATTATTATTATTCTCCGCTCTATAAAAAAAACAGTTTCTGTAACCGCCCTCGTCAACCATTAACCAGGAACAGCAACGTGGCCGGCAGCACCGGGCTTTAAACTCGAACACTCTGTGAATGATAAACTTTGTATTACTTGCAAGTGGCTTCTGAGAAGACAATTACTTTTGTATTAAGGACCCCCCCCCCCCCCCCCCCCCCCCCCCGGGGGGGGGCTGCAATATGATCTCGTCACGGTGAATTTAACTGGATACTGTAGGAATGCATCCACACTAGAATAGTACGAGGCTGCAGGCGGTAGGAGTTTTGTTTGAGTGTAGGTGCGTTCGGTCTAAAAATGGGGCATGCAAATTCACCCATTACTGCGGCGTATCGTTTCCAGTCTTTGGTACGTGTATTAAAATCTGAGAACATACTGTTCAGGGTCAAAGTCGGATGTGGAATGATTATAAAAGGACGTTTATGGAAGCGAACGCGTTACCGGGAACTTAACACCAAACTGAACTCTGTCAAAGTGCCACGTTTTAGACATGAAATAAAACATGTGTCTTGCACCTTTAAGAAGAAATGACATTCATTTGTGCTCACATGTTTCACTGGCTTAAAACAAGGACAGCAGCTAATCACATCTCTCCAAAGCAAAAAGATTGCCTTATTCAGCGCAAAGGTGTGATGCCACCAACAACAACAACGAGGGAGCCACAGCGACAAAAGAGGGCGGGAAGCTGAGGACAAACACCACAGGAAAAGAAACACACAATAGCAAACGACCCACTTCCTGTTCAAAAGGTGGGAAAAGCCTCAATGACTCCATCATTGCGGGAAAACATTATCCTTAGAAAGAAAAGAAACACATCTATTGTTCTTGGGTCCCAAGTGTCTCCTATAGCTGAGGCTGAGATTGGTCAGTTTGGATGAATTCATCTCATCAATCATTCATCTCACAGTGGCTTCTATCTCATGACTGAGAGTCTGAGATACACTCACCGCTGAATCACTGAAACAGATGCTAATATCAGATCAAATACTGGTTGGAGGAAAGACAGCATCAAGACAAATTAATGAGAGCACATATGGGGCATCAGTTTTGTGTTTCATAAAATGTCGACATGAAATGTCGCTGAGCAAATAAGTCCGAATACAAACAGAGTAAGGGACAATGAAGTCCTTCTGGAAGCCGCTATATATGTACATTTTCCAAGTATTTATTGTTACTTATGTATTAATGCTTGTAAAATCCGTGGCAAAAGCTGTTAATGGACTTATCAAACCTTATGGAAAAAGAACGGTGTGGCATAAAGGCCAGTACAGTATGTGCTGGTTCTTTCTTGTTTGTCACAATTTTCAATACAGTGACTTGTGTTCTGCTGAGCTTTGAGGATCTAGTTGTTTACCACAGACGACAGTCCTGAAAAGTAAATCAATCAAAAGACAATTTGCTTGAATGTTGCGTCTTAAAGAAGAGTGAGTTTTTTAGAGTTTTCTATGAAGTGGAGCGGGACAATTTTTTGTGCAGACATGCATGGTTCCCAGAGGATGCATCCTCTCAGCTTTGGTGATCCACTGACTTTTCCTCTTTCACCCCCACAAGGTGAATAACTTGGATGATCCCTGAAGTTATAGATTTAATATGTCAATTACAAATAACCAAATACCTGAAAAACGAATGGCCTTCCCATCAGCCTCAGCTGTACTTTATGCTTAGTGCTAATTGGCAGATATGAGCATGTTCTCGTGCTTAACTCACAACGTGTTAGCGCGGTGATCTTTAGCATTTAGCACAAAGCACCATTGTGCCTCAAAGAGCACTCGATATAGAGGAGAAAGTGACAGACGGTGAGACTCAGCATGTCTGTCAGACAACTTTAAACAACTAACAATATAAAAACCATGCAATAAAACCATCCACTATCGGTATTAGGTAAGCATGGGGACAACATCGATCAGCAGGTCAACCACCTGACACTTTATGGCGGCGTGGCACTCTGACCCGCTGTGCCCTATCACTGGTTTGGTTGTTTGGCCCACTGAAAGGAATGTGCCTGATAAACAGCTAGGGCAGGTACAGCAAACAGGTTGTTGTATTCAGTACAGGGCTCTCAGTTCAAGGATGTAAAACTAAACATGCAAATCAAAGCATCAGACTTTCAGTGGCTTGTTTTGCTCCGTTTATCAGAAAAATGTTCACATATGAGAATATGGAGCGCTAGATTTGTCTCTAAAACGAGGCTTGGACGTCACATCCAGTAAGGCATCCTGACTATTTAGAGTCAGGATGCTTGTAGAGTCAATCACAAGGACATCGTTTTAGTTTCAATACCCCATTACATAATGACATTAGATATTTAAGCCTGCAGTGATGGGAATATGCAAGAGAACAAGTGCCAGATTAGCAACACGCCAAGGGCAATTTCTGCAGAGAGGCCTCAGCGCCAGTGGTGAATTGCCAAAAAGTGTTAAGCAATAGCACTGAGTGACAGAGTACGCCTTCAATTTAGAATTCATCTGACTTCACTTAGTCTTCTCCAGACAAATCAGCTCCAACAGATGGACGCACTGCGTCTATAGCCTCGGGTTATTTAGACGCCGCACAGCAACATCTTTCATGGGAAAACACACAGAACTTCATCCCCATTTTTCTGCAGTCAAACAAATCATAGATCCCCACATCAACACGCCATCCTTTTCCCTTTCAGACTACATAATTAGGACTGTGTGTGTTTTCCCCTCCTGTAATCGTCCGACCTCCTGGAGTGGCCAAAGTCAGGTTACAGCACTAAATGACCTGCTGAGCTCCACGACAGCAGCATTCCTCGTACGGCCTTATTGCTCCCCTAGACCCATCTAATATGAGGCATTTACAGCCAATGAACGGACATTTTAGACCACAGAATATAATGAAAGCTATACAGGGACTAGTTTAAAGGGTAAAAAAAAAAAACACATTCCAGTCTCCAACAGTAAATACACTCCCCCACAGCTACCAAAAAACCTGCTAGATTTAAGCATGAAGCAAAGTACCATTCTGTGCTTGTTAGGGGCCTTGCACACCCTCACAGGTGTTTTCTCTCGTGTCTGAACGCTAATACGAAGCTGCAGCTAGTAGGCAATTAGCTTAGCATAAAGAGTGGAAACAGGGGGAAACAGCTAGCCCTCAGTCCAAAGTCCACAAAAAAAAAAAAAAAAAAAAAAAAAACACCTAGCAGCAACTCTAATTTTGACTAATGAATATGTTTTGTCTTGTTTGCATAAAACGGGTTCTTCCTCTAGTCTCAGAACATTTTTAACCAATACATTTCGGCCATGCGTGTGCGTCCCTGTGGTCATTTTAAGGGCTCACATGCACACGAATGCTGCACTGACGTCAGAGGGAAAGGCTTCCCGAGAGCAGGAGTCGTTCATGCGTGGAGCTCCTGCTGTTACACTCTGACATCATGTCTGGGGATGAAGGAGAAACATCCGAAAAACAAAAGAGAAATACGAGGATAAATAAGAATAAAAGGTGTGA